AGGCTACTCTGCTCCCTCTGAGCCCAGGGAACCACATCTGAAACTTCCTGGATCACCGGCTCCTTGGGGCAGCCTGGGTATCGACGAAGGAAGGGCCTGATGAGCTCTTCTGGCTGGGATTTCAGGGGCCTGGGGAAGATCCTGCCTTTGCCAAGACACTCCTTTCTCCTTCCAGATGCTGCCCTAGTTCAGATATGTGATGCCCCACCATTAAAGATTCCTTCCCTGGATGAAGGACAGGCTTCTATTGAACTACCACTCCTTTGTGGGAAAGACGCACTTCAAGCTGCCAGCATTCTTTTGTCCTTTAATGTGCGTTGTCAAGACCCCCTTCAGACCAGCAGCTGGGGTAAAGTTGGACATGCGGTTGTGGGGGTGCGGTGGTGGTGGTAAAGGCAGAGGAATATGCCCAGGGCACCTGAGCAAGTTGGGAGCACAGGAGAAAGCATCTGAAAACACACCCCAGGTTTCCTAAATGGGCTTGGTGGGATCCCAGCCCATACCTCTCCAGACTGGCAAAGAGCCTCTTTTAAGGGTAGGAGTCCCGGGACATGAGGTTGGCCCACAGGGCCCTGGCTCCAGGCAGGCTCCATATACTGTAGGGACATCCTGATGCCTCTGTTTTCTCCCCCATAGACCTTCCAAGCAACAGTTCCCAGAAGCCATGACATGTCCCTGCAGCTGGAGGCCTTCCAGGGAGGGCCATAGAGGCCTCCTGGGCCCAGTGTTGCCTACGGAGGAAGGAAGGTAGGTAGCAGAGCTGAATCAGCATCCCAAAAGCCAACCCTGAGTTTCTTTTCTTCCTCTCCTCTCCATTGCCTGAATCTGGAGGCCTGCTGCCTGAGGTGGTGGGAGGAACAGAGTGGGGCCAGAGGAACAGCCTCACTTGCCCCTCCCTTTTCCTGCTGCTCTTAGGAACTGAAAACCAGAGGAGCCTTTGTGAGTGAGGCCACAGGGTGTGGTCAGCCGCTCCCTGCTTGACCTGCTCCCTCTCTCCAGCCTCTGCCTTCTGGGAGCTTGCCCTGGGCACCCCTTGTCCGAGGTGATCTTGACTTCGGTTTCTGTTTCTGCCTCTGAATATTTCTCCTGTTCCTTTGTCTCTTTTGGTAGAAGCCATCTCTCCTGAGCTTTTCCATCAGTGGGGGTTATAGGGGTGTGAAGATCATGGTGCACATGGTCCCCAGGGCATCTGGGTGGGCCTAGGCCAAACATCTCGGTACCCCAATGTGCTCTTCACATACTCTTTTCCATGTGTGCCATGAAGTGAGAAAGTTCAGGAATCACTGTTCCACTGACTCATTTTCTTCCCCTCCAACATGGATGTCTTTGTGTACTTTTCTGCTTCTTATCCTCCTCTTTTTCTTTTGTTCACAGAGAAAGATTGGACCCCAGGTGGGGGAAAGAGCCAAAAGACTCAAAGGGGAGGGCACCATCTGACTCCACATAAGTGCATAGCCCCCTCACTCAGGTGACACTGAGGAGAAACACCTTGCTTCCCCCATACCACGGTCCCTGACTGTCAGGAATTCCGACCTGATAGCGCTCCCACACCAAAGTCCCTCCATTGGTCATCACAAAGGAGGCGAATAGTGTAGGACACCAATCCCATTTCCTTTCCCTTTTGCCACCTGCTCTTCAATTGGAAATGGCCAGGAGTCTCCAGATGGGACACCATCACTTGGTCCCCTGGAAGAGGTTTCAGTCCAACCTCCTCCCCCACTTTTGAGCTAGTCCCAAGAGAGCCCCTTTGTCCCCAGACTCTTGGTGTGTAATGTTAGCCCTGAAACATTTTCTCCATTTTGTGTGTTCATGGCCAACCCCATTCCATATTTACTTGCCTTCCAATCCCAGGTGAAGGCTACATTCCCTTCATTGTCTTGATAATTTCTTCCTCTTGTGCTCCTGGAGGGCAAGACACTGTTTCTCATGCATTTCTGGATCCCTGGTGCTTAGCTCAGAACGTGGCACGCATGCTCAGCACAGGCTATTTTGAATAAAGTATTTCAAAATGGTGTATACAAATGTTGAATTTCTTCTCTGAAGGCAGAGATAAGGGAGGTGGAAGAAAGTCTGGAATAATCTGATGTGCTCAGGGGGAAAGATGAAGGGGTTGAGGAGACAGTGGGCAAGCGGGTGTGCATTCAGGTCGGGACTTAGGGGCCAGATTTGCCTATGGGGGTGGTGGTGGTGTTGAGACTCAGTTCCACACGAGGCCGATCTTGAGGGCACTTCTTGGATTTCAGATTCAGGGACTATTCTATAGATGCCAAGGCAACCTACTTAGTGTGAGTAGTGGTTATTGCCAAAACACTGGAAAAAGATAAATCCCATCGGACTCTGATCAAACAGGAATTCCCTGCTCTTCCTACATAAGGCTCAAGGAATTGTAGTGCAAATCAAACCTGGGACTTAAGATATTTATCAACCCACTCTCGCTATGCACCCTCATGCTCTACTATTCCATTTTGTGAGGAGAGTATAGGCGGGGTTTCTAGCCGTGACTTTGAAAGCTAGAATCTGAAACTGTTTCTGGGCCTCCCAACTGCACAAGTTCCTGGGTGAGATTACATGTGGGGGGAAATAGTGTCCGCCCTGAAAGATCACGTGTGTGCGTGTGTGTGTGTGTGCGCGCACGCGCGCACACGTGGTTTTTGTCGGTATGCGTCCCTGTGTTGGGTTCAGCGCTCTCTAGGCAAGCGTAGCCATGATATTGTCACGTATGTTGTCTCCACTACTGGAGATTGCCCAGTAGCACGGGGGGGGATGAATGGTGACCGGCACGGAGGCCCGCGAGGCCCATGGAGTCAGCTCTTCTGTATCTTCCCAATTCTGTCCTCCCCTCTGTCCTCATTGCTGGTCCTGGGATTCAGACCGTCACCCCTCCTCTAAACCTTCCAAACCTGCTCCTCCACTATTGCCCACGCTGACCCCAGACTAGTCTTTCTAGAACTTGAATATGATCAAGTTATAAGCAAAAAGCCACAGGGGACCTTCCATTGCCCGGCTCATTGGCCCGCAAGTCCCAGTGTGCTCTCAGCTCATCTCCCTCCTCTTTGGTCCCAGCTGCATAGGACCATTCAGCCTTCCCCAAAGCCTACCTTGTGCTTTCCTGCCTCCATCGCACCTTGCCTTGCCTTCCTCCTGCACCTGGTGAGCTCCTGGTCAGCTGCCAGTTCTGCTTCTGGTCTCCCAGTTCCTGTGTAGAATGGTTAGGCTTCTGTATCAACTTGGCTAGTCTTATGTATCAACTTGATAAGCTACAGTACCCACTTATTCACTTAAACACTAATCCACGTATTTCTGTGATGGTATTTTAAAGATGTGGTTAACCGCTGTCATTGGTTGATTTTTTTTTAATTTTTTTATTGTTATGTTAATCACCATATATTACATCATTAGTTTTTGGTGCAGTGTTCCATGATTCATTGTTTGTTCATAACACCCAGTGCTCCATGCAGAACGTGCCCTCCTCAATACCCATCACCAGGCTAACCCATCCCCCTACCCCCCTCCCGTCTAGAACCCTCAGTTTGTTTTTCAGAGTCCATCATCTCTCATGGTTCGTCTCCCCCTTGACATACTCCCCTTTTCTTCCTCTCCTGTTATCTTCTTCTTTTTCTTTTTTCTTAAAATATGTTGCGTTATTTGTTTCAGAAGTACAGATCTGTGATTCAACAGTCTTGCACAATTCACAGCGCTCACCATAGCACATACCCTCCCCAATGTCTATCACCCAGCCACCCCATCCCTCCCACCCCCAACCACTCCAATAACACTCAGTTTGTTTCCTGAGATTAAGAATTCCTCATATCAGTGAGGTCATGTGACACATGTCTTTCTCTGATTGACTTATTTCACTCAGCATAACACCCTCCAGTTCCATCCACGTCGTTGCAAATGGCAAGATCTCATTCCTTTTGATGGCTGCATAATATTCCATTGTGTATATATACCACATCTTCTTTATCCATTCATCTGTCGATGGGCATCTTGGCTCTTTCCACAGTTTGGCTATTGTGGACATTGCTGCTATAAACATTGGGGTACACGTACCCCTTTGGGTCCCTACATTTGTATCTTTGGGGTAAATACCCAGTAGTGCAATTGCTGGATCGAACGGTAGCTCTAATTTCAACTGTCTGAGGAACCTCCATACTGTTTTCCAGAGGGGTTGCACCAGCTTGCATTCCCACCAACAGTGTAGGAGGGTTCCCCTTTCTCCACATCCCCGCCAACATCTGTCGGAACGACAGACTAACGACTTGTTAATTTTAGCCATTCTGACTGGTGTGAGGTGGTATCTCATTGAGGTTTTGATTTGGATTTCCCTGATGCCGAGCGATGTTGAGCACTTTTTCATGTGCCTGTTGGCCATTTGGATGTCTTCTTTGGAGAAATGTCTGTTCATGTCTTCTGCCCATTTCTTGATTGGATTATTTGTTCTTTGGGTGTTGAGTTTGATAAGTTCTTTATAGATTTTGGATACTAGCCCTTTATCTGATATGTCATTTGCAAATATTTTCTCCCATTCTGTCAGTTGTCTTTTGGTTTTGTGGACTGTTTCTTTTGCTGTGCAAAAGCTTTTTATCTTGATGAAATCCCAATAGTTCATTTTTGCCCTGGCTTCCCGTGCCTTTGGCGATGTTTCTAGGAAGAAGTTGCTGCGGCTAAGGTCGAAAAGGTTGCTACCTGTGTTCTCCTTTAGGATTTGGATGGACTCCTGTCTCACGTTTAGGTCTTTCAACATTTGGAGTCTATTTTTGTGTGTGGTGTAAGGAAATGGTCCAGTTTCATTCTTCTGCATGTGGCTGTCCAATTTTCCCAACACCATTTGTTGAAGAGACTGTCTTTTTGCCATTGGACATTCTTTCCTGCTTTGTCAAAAATAAGTTGACCATAGAGTTGAGGGTCCATTTCTGGGCTCTTGATTCTGTTCCATTGATCTATGTGTCTGTTTTTGTGCCAGTACCATACTGTCTTGATGATGACAGCTTTGTAATAGAGCTGGAAGTCCGGAATTGTGATGCCGCCAGCTTTGCTTTTCTTTTTCAATATTCCTCTGGCTATTCGGGGTCTCTTCTGGTTCCATACAAATTTTAGGATTATTTGTTCCATTTCTTTGAAAAAAGTGGATGGTATTTTGATGGGGATTGCATTGAATGTGTAGATTGCTCTAGGTAGCATTGACATCTTCACAATGTTGATTCTCCCAATCCATGAGCATGGAACGTTTTTCCATTTCTTTGTGTCTTCTTCAATTTCTTTCCTGAGTATTTTATAGTTTTCTGAGTACAGATCCTTTGCCTCTTTGGTTAGATTTATTCCTAGGTATCTAATGGTTTTGGGTGCAATTGTAAATGGGATCGACTCCTTGATTTGTCTCTCTTCTGTCTTGTTGTTGGTGTATAGGAATGCCACTGATTTCTGTGCATTGATTTTATATCCTGCTACTTTACTGAATTCCTGTATGAGTTCTAGCAGTTTTGGGGTGGAGTCTTTTGGGTTTTCCACATACAGTATCATATCATCTGCAAAGAGTGAGAGTTTGACTTCCTCTTTGCCGATTTGGATGCCTTTGATTTCTTTTTGTTGTCTGATTGCTGTGGCTAGGACTTCTAATACTATGTTGAATAGCAGTGGTGAGAGTGGACATCCCTGCCACGTTCCTGACCTTAGGGGAAAAGCTCTCAGCCTTTCCCCATTGAGAATGATATTCGCTGTAGGTTTTTCATAGATGGCTTTTATGA